AGAATAAATCACAAGAGATTAAGTTGTCTTTCGTTAATAATAGGTGTGCCCTTTCCCAAAGGAATGGCAGATGTTTCAAAATTCAGTCGGGTCAAAGCTTTCTGAAATGATGTATTATATTTGCTCCTAACCATTTTTATCAAATTGTTGAAATAATTACTAACATTACTGCTATTATTTTTTCTAAATTTAGCTATAAGTAAATTTAAAATAACCTTACAAAGGAGGGGGAACCTTTTGTGGCTTCCTTCCCCTCACTGCTGCAACTGCCATGACTGAATAGGACTGATCAGCTCCTCCCTCTTCTAGCTTCAAAGGAATATTAGGACTGGAGGCTTCTAAAAGGGGGGGGGGAAACCTGGGCTGCCTGTGCAGCCAGCAGTCCCTCGTAGCCAGAAAGGACTGAGCAGATACAGGAAAAGCCGTGAGTCAGTGGAAGAGCCTCTCCTTTGCGTGCAGAAGGTCCCAGGGTAAATCCAGGTATCTCCATTTAAAATAAAGATCTGGTAGTCATACTAGATAACACGATAGGCCAATAGCCCGACTCAGTATCCCTGTTCACCAGTGAGCACATGTATAGGCTACAATTGATTTTTCCTTGCATGTACACTGAGTAATTCTCATGTTACACTCAAGCATGTACAGCTGAATGTGTGATTGAAATCCTGCATTTATCCCAATACTAGTCCTTGGTCTCATTTGTAAAGTAAATTGAACTTATGTTGGCTGTTTCTTACAAACAAGTGTAAACGTCTCCAGGCAGGCTGTGTGCGCATATACTATAATTTGTGAACAGGGCTAGTAGAAGCAGCTTCATCTGTATGTAAATATGCCATGTTTGGGACAGGAAGAGTTTGCCTCCTGAATACTCACTTAAGGGACCAACTGCTACTCATCACAAGGAGGCAAATTACAAATTGCAAGACTGGTTATAGAAGATAATCGGGTTCTATAGCTTAGAATATTAACAACAAGAAACAGGTCAAAAATTTACTTGTTTGTACCCTGAGAAATAGTCTGATGTTGGCTTTATGCCAGGTTGCTGGTAAACGTTGATACAGCCCATCATACAGCATTTTTAAACTGAGGCAATGCAGCAATGGAGACTCCTTGATTATCTTTGTTCACAGATGATCTTGATAATAAATAAAAACTGATGGTATCACATGAGGGGAGGGGCTATGGCTCAGTGGTACACCATTAGCATGCAACCTGTTCCCAGGTTCAGTCCCTGGCATCTCCAGTTAAAAGGATCAGGCTGTAGGTGCTATAGAAGACCTCTTCTTGAGATCTGCCAGAATAATAACCTTGATGGACCAATGATCTGGTTCAGAATAAGGCAACTTCATGCACTCATGATATTCATTAACATATAACTATAATAGACAATCACGAAGATTACCTTATGCAATTACCCCTCCACAGGCATAGTCAATTATAC